CCAATTTGTTTTTCAATGTATTTTATTTCAGTTCAAAGCATCACTGCAGACAGATAGTCCAAGAAAACAAGCCACACTTGGGTTATACTCAGTCTTCCTCAATCTCCAAAAGCAGCTCAGTATTGCCAAAGTGTGGCTCGTTTTCCTGGGCTGCCTGTCTGCAATGATGCTTTGAACTGAAATAAAATAGATTGAAAAACAAATTGCTATGCCCTGGCTCTTCCTGCAGTTTCATATTATCCTTCAAAGCTAGTGTTAGCACCTGCTCTTTATTGGAACCCAACAGACCCAAATCACAGAGTAAAACTGCAATACTTTAGATGCAAAGGTCCCACCCAAACCTAAAATAGCAATTTAATTCAGGGCTTGTTGTTTAACATTGCATGAACATGCCACTCTCTGTCCAGTTCTTTGCTCTGTTTGCAGGGTTGGATTGTGTCTTCTGATGACATGTGCAATATGGCTACTGGGTAGCGTTTAAAGCAAAACCTGCCATGCTGTTCTTCTTATAGATCCTTGATTTATTATTTCCTCTAATGTCTTACATTTATGAACCCAAACATCAACCTATTTTTTTTTTTTTTTTAGATGGAGTCTTGCTCTGCAGCCCAGGCTGGAGTGCAGTGGTGCAATCTTGGCTCACTGCAACCTCCGCCTCCCAGGTCCCAGGTCAAGCAATTCTCCTACTTCAGCCTCCCAAGTAGCTGGGATTATAGGCACGAGCCACCATGCCCAGCTAATTTTTGTATTTTTCAGTAGAGACAGGGTTTCACCATGTTGGCCAGTCTCGTCTTGAACTCCTGACCTCGTGATCTGCCCGCCTCGGCCTCCCAAAGTTCTGGGATTACAGGCAGGAGCCACTGCGCCCAGCCCAACCTATTTTTACTTATTCAAAAAGTCTGCTATTTACTTCAAAGCATTCGGTACTGTTTTAGGGTATGTGACATTATTTTGAAAACTTTTGGAAGAAACTTGAAATCATTTGCAAACAAATTTTAAAATTACCACCAACTAAAAGAAGTCTAACATTTGCTTAGAATGCCTTAAGAGAATACATACACCTTGGATGGAGGAACACAAGTAGTTTCAAACTTCAAACGCTGAAATACCAAAAAGTGTTCTGCATAGACAGCTGTACAATTTGGCTTTTAAAAAAATCAGATGCCTGGCTGGGTGCGGTGGCTCATGCCTATAATCCCAGCACTTTGGGAGGCTGAGGCGGATGGATCACAAGGTCAGGAGTTCGAGACCAGTCTGCCCAACATGGCGAAACCCCATTTCTACTAAAATACGACAACAACAACAACAACAACAAATTAGCTGGGCATGGTGGTGCATGCCTGTAATCCCAGCTACTTGGGAGGCTGAGGCAGGTGAATCACTTGAACCCAGGAGGCAGAGGTTGCAGTGAGCCGAGATTGTGCCACTGCACTCCAGCCTGGTCAACAGAGCAAGACTCCGTCTCAAAAAAAAAAAAAAAAAAAAATTAAATGCCATTGGGAAAAGTTCCTCTCCAAGCAGAAACACTAAGAAAAAACAAGAT